CATGACGATAATAGGTTAAGGTATTGCCGAAGTCAACATTTCCCCTATAAACAATTATTTTTTTACATGCAGAGCCAACATTTTCAAAAAATAATTGCTTACAGGAGACATACACTCGATGGATTACCAACAACTGACTGTAAAACATATCTGGTACCTCTATATATGCACTTATATTAACATCAAAAGTCCATCCTATTTTACATATTCTGCACAAAAGAAACTTTCTGTTCCACCCCATTCATAAAAAACGGCGGGAAATCCTATCAGGTTCGGTTGCACATCATTCTGCTTGAACCTGAAAAGATAAAAATCAGCGCTGCCCCCCCCCCCATTTTGTTGGGTTTGGGCTGGAAAGCCTACCTCCGTTCAGGACCTCTTGTGCTTTTGTACATCTTGTACACCTCGTACCGTAAATAAAACGGTCTTACACGGCTCGGCTCGGAAGTCAAGATGGCTTCCGAGCCTAATAGTAAATGATACTCGATCGTCCGTCAGGGACGATTCCCTCAGGCCGGTGGCCTTAATTACCAAGGAGGGTCCCGTCTCGGCTCGACCAAGGTGGCCATGCCACAGTCAGCCGATGCCGTCAACGACGGAAGACGCCTGCCAGCCAAACGAGCCAGCAACGCCTGCTGAGCCGTATGTATCTGATGAACGCCACCAAATCCGCCATTCTCCCAAAGCGGCAACAACACTGTCTGCAGCCCGCGCCGCAAGTTTCCGGCCACACGGTAGTGCAGGAGCAGCCGTGTGGGCCAACGCCAGCGTCGCGACGCCGAAGGAGAATTTGTTGCAACAGTGAGTACCGTACCGTTCATAAACTCTCGCATACACGCCACATATATGTGAAAACCCACACCCACACGCCACAGAATAGGGAAATAAATGTTAGAAAATGTGAATAATCCTGTGTTTCATACTTTGTCCGCGTAGCCCCTCCGAATACCCAGTAACATGCCGGCCCTGCGACACAGTTTAGGGGTCTCATGCTACTGAGCTAGTTACCCGGGAGTGTCTGGTCATGCCATAGTCACAATAGTTTTCTTTAAGTTATAGTAAAAGTAAATAGTGAATGTGTGAAAGGGAAAGTGATACAATAGTAGTAGAATTATAAGGAAAAACAACGTAATAAGGTGAACAGTTATTCTACTAAAACGCAGATCAATCAATTTAGAATAAGAAATCGGCTTTTTGAATTTTCCCCTAAAAATCTTGGTAGTACAATAAAACAGCAAAAAAGGTTATCTTCCATTTAATTCCACTTAATTAATTTTGGTATCCATGACAGATACATATTTCGACTACAATGTGCAGTCTTCATCAGTGTCATTCCCACTTTGATGAAGACTGCACATTGTAGTCGAAATACGTATCTGTCATGGATACCAAAATTAATTAAGTGGAATTAAATGGAAGATAACCTTTTTTGCTGTTTTATTTAGCATTCCGCTAACAACCCAATTTCATTACTTCATCACTTGGTAGTACAATTAAAAGGAAAAACAACGATTACTTATAATATCAAAATAAGAACTTTGACAATTTTTGATTGAAATCGATGACATTGACCACAACTTTGTATAAACTTCACAAGCAATACAGAAGTGCTATAACAGTTCATAATACCTTCGTAGGACTGGTTTTGGTTGTAAAGAAGTTTACTCAACATTACTCTTTCATGAATATATGTTATTTGGATTGAGCTGTAATGACCCATCCCAAGCAACATACATGTTCTATAACAGTTTATATAACCTTTGTATGACTACTTTTGGTTGTATACATAATTCTATGAATTTGTGTTACTTGGGGTGTTTGGTTTATTTGTTGGAATTAAAATTTGAGCAGTTTCAAGCCAAATGACGAATCGGACAAATTCAACCCTCTCCGATTTGCAAGAAACTTTGCATGATTGTTTGTTATGGGAAATGATTCACTATTTTACTGAAATTTGGTTATTTTGGATCTTGTGAAATTTTCAGCACGAAGCGGCACTGATCGAAAAGACTTCTCAGACAAAGTTGTAGAGAGGAATAATGTTTCCCTGGGAGAAATATACATCACATTGTTTTTAATAATTTGATCGATGATTTTTTTAAAGTTCATGAAAAATTCAATCTTTTGGTATGTTTAAAATTAGGGCACTTGGAAATTGACAAAAATCGAAAAACAAAAACATTTGGTCAAATTTTTGAACTCGAAATGGCCCAATTTCAGCAAAAATTTAGATCATTGCATATAACAAACAATTATGCAAAGGTTCATGTAAATCGAAGATGGTCGGAGATCTAATGAGATAGAGCTCATTAGATTAAAAATGCACATTTTTAAATCTGGGATGAAGTTGATCATTCAGGATCACCTAGTGTTAAAATTTCACGTTTACACGTTTGGTTTATGAATAAACTGTAAATGTAGGCAATTGTTACCTAATTATCACAAAAAAAAATCATTTTTTATTATACTAAATTTAAACGAAATATGATTTCAGATTCAGATTTGGCAACGCAAAATTAAGTAAAATAAGTAATCACGTCAAACACCGCACCAGAATAAATGCTAATTCTGATAGAATTTTTAGGAACATTCAAAAGCTACTTATTTCATCACTTCCACAAAATTGTACTTTAAAGTAGTAGAATGCATCGCTTGTTAGGGAAAATGTGTCAAAATTACTACTTAAACCTACTCAATGAAATACTAAACAAATTATCTTATAACAGTATCATGAACAAGGATTGTTGCGAAACGAAAATTGAACGGTGTAGTAACATAACCTCAATTATCAACTTCATCCCGTTTACGGTACTTTTTTATGTTATATGCGACAGTTAGAAGATACTGAGAGGTTAGCACATATCATCGGCAAGAGACGTGCGTGTGAGAAAATTTGCGAAAAAATGTAAGGGCACCGGTGGGATACGAACCCACAATTCCCATTCAGTACACGGGTGCATTGCCAATTATACAACGGTGGACCTATGGTCTACGGATGTATTTGGCTAATGACATATGAGTTTCGAATCCGTTTCCCTCCCTTAGTCTTTTTGCGCAAGCGTTCTCAATACACAACAATCGTCTATTACCGACGATATGTGCTTGTACCGCAACCACTCAGTATCGGTCGATGTGAACAAACACAACTCGTCTCTGTTCTACATCACACATGTTGGATACGGGATGTCCAATGCAGTATGAATAGAGCAATGAGCTGCTGGCCTCACCTCCGACCACCGGGCCATAGTGATGATTTATCATCAAATTAATTTTCGATTTAGGTTAGCGACTGAAAGTCAATTTTTATTTGTTATATGCGACAGTTAGAAGATACTGAGAGGTTAGCACATATCATCGGCAAGAGACGTGCGTGTGAGAAAATTTGCGAAAAAATCTAAGGGCATTGGCAATGCACCCGTGTACTGAATGGGAATTGTGGGTTCGTATCCCACCGGTGCCCTTAGATTTTTTCGCAAATTTTCTCACACGCACGTCTCTTGCCGATGATATGTGCTAACCTCTCAGTATCTTCTAACTGTCGCATATAACAAATAAAAATTGACTTTCAGTCGCTAACCTAAATCGGTACTTTTTTATTTTAGCTGTTTGTGCACTGTACTGTTTAGAAATCGTACAACCTCGTTCACATCTCAGCGCACGTGGTAATAGTATTTACTTTATTTTACAAATCTAAGTTAATTATGATTAAGTAGACCTATTATTTCCCTGAGATAAACTTGTCTACGACTAAAAAATTTCGTACAAATAAAAAAAAATAATAATAAAATTATTATTCCCTTTGGGGTTGCTTTCCTTTTTTTCAATGATCAAAAGTCATGATAACCTGACATATGACCAGTGTTGGCAATATCATCAATCAAATGATATTGTTCTGCTCTCATACGCTCTCAATATCACGCGTGATATTTAAACAAAATATCATGCTGATATTGATTTTACAAGCTCCTTTGATATTACGAGACTATTCACCACGCGCAAACATCAAGCTGAGAGTTGACTCGACACAAAAATGATTCCGTTGCGCATCGTTTTCTTAGAAAGAGAAAGTATAGTTTGCTATCTCTTTTTATTGTTCACCGATGGCAGACACGAAGTGACTGCTGCCAGCCGTTATGGAAGTTAAAGTTACGTTCGGGTGTAAAGCAAAAATCATGAAACTCAATCTCACCACAGTTTGTTGAGATTTGCAGTTGGTGAGTCCCAAAATGCGATATCACAGCTTGAAAAATCAACTGCAGTTGTGTGCTTATTGATTTTTGTCTACCAAAATCAAGCGTGATCTTGTTCATTGGTGAGATTTGATTTTTTGATATTTTCCCAACACAGCATATGACTATAGAAAAATAAATATGTTTCAAACCTTCAAAACACGGTAAATCGACGGCCAGGAAACACAACTAACTCGGTACTGTTTCGGAGTAGTGTTGAAAATAAATGGCAAAATTATTTAAAAGTCTGTCGGCTCCGTAGAGTTATAAGGACAGTTGAACCATACGAAATAAATTAATTGAAATCTCAAGTAAAGCAACATAACAAATACCACAAATATTCTTCCGTTAGCTACAAAAAAAGGCTCACCAGTGCACGCAAAGTGCAAGCGAAAACGCGATTTAAGAGCAGCAATAAAAACGCTGCTCTATACCCACCGGACTGGATCTTATGAGCAGCAAAACCATATCACGGACCATCGATTCAAAGTGCTTGCTTCTAGTATGAATTGCATGTATGTATGAGTGTACCTGTACCTTCAGCGAACACTACTTTCCTCCAACCTGTACTGTATGTAGAACAAACTGTTATTACTCGCTTCGAAGGCGTACATAATAACTCATAACACAAGACGGGAAACATTGCCTTCTTGTCGACTTGAATGTTTCTTCCCTCGGGGAAGGTTCTCCTTCCCGGTAAATGAATAATATAGTATTAATCAACAGTAATTGAAAGCAGAGCACTGAAAGACTCAAGTATCGTTACATTACCTTCAATGACATTCCAATTCACTGATCCGATTTGTAGATGTGCTGTGGATGACGCCGCTGGTACTGTGACTGTACTGTGCACCAGCCCAGAAGGGAACCAATCGTCACACAGCGTCCTCCGGTATTCAGAGACGGAGAGAGAGAGAGTCACAAAAGCAGAATCCAATAACTCTAATAACTTGTAGCAGAAGGGAAAATTTCCGTAGTACTCTTCGATTTCAGTGCAGCGACAAAACCAAGCCCAAACGGATAAAACGTAGATGGGACGCGAGCGAGGACGGAGCACTTCAAACTGAAGTTTAATTAATTATATTGCTTTTACCATTCAGCTGCGAAGGTGTATCACTTCACTTCACTTCACTTCGACGATTCATAGAAAAACTGCTTTAAATTCTGCACACATAAACTTCCATTCAATTTTTATTTGTGCTTCCTCGTGTTGTGTTGCTTGCTTTTAATTATCGAAGATTGATATTTTTCGCAGCGTTTACTTCCCGGGGTCCTCCTCTCACTCTTCGCTGTTGCACTTCTCGTGACGCAAGCTATCGTCACACTTGGGCGGTTTGGAATTTATTTTTCCGCTTGAAATTTTTTTATCAACAATTTGATAAGTTTTGATTGCCTTTTCAATAACACACTTCAACGCACACAAACACTGACTTCATTGGTATCTTAAATTCGCACATATAGTGACGATCGTGTCGTAATCACAAACAGCTGACTCCATCCGCTTCGAAGCTCTGAAAATGGATTAGACGTAAAAAAAATCGTATTAGGCACTATGATAAATGATAACAGTTATGCAACTGGCTTGCACCTTAAATTACCTCACTCGTATAAACAGTTACAGTAAACAAAAACAAAGTCGGCCACGCAACCAAAAAAACGCACAAGAACTATGTGATATGACGACGAATTAAAAGAGTCAGCAAAGATCGCGAGAGCGAAAATAAAGAGTTGAAAAACAGGAGACAGAGAGAAAGAAGTTTGGACACGTTCTTAACCGCACGATCACTCCCTCCTGTTACACCAATTTAGCCGATTGCGGTCACGATTTTAACGATAAAATTCACTCGCTCAGATATCAAAACACTTGCGACTAAAGGTGCACAGCTCGGAAAACACCGCACCGCGCTTCTATTCGATTGAACTTGAAAACTGCTAATAACTGGAGCTCCAAATGAAAACTAAGCGGAAAGCGAGAAAAAATAATAGAAGAAAATCGCGACTAAACTTTAGTCGCACCGCACCGACGCGCGAGAGTTTGTGAGTAAACACGCTCAGCTTAGCTCACACGCTGCTGGAGCAAACCGATGACGACGGCGACGACCGAGCGCGCACACATTCACTCAAAATCATCGCCCACTATGTGTAGCCAACGACTCGAATGCAATAATATGACGTGATGCATTCAGTTAAAACGTCACGGCTTACTTTGGTCGCACCTTGATTCGGAAATATGCGTTGACACTACGACCGTATCGAGAACCAGAAGGAGCCTCTTGTGCAGACACGGACGTCCGTTTCCCCCCCGAACGAATCACGATTCACGATCGAACTAAAACCAATGGAAACTTAAACATCATTGAGCTGAACAGCACTTGCAGACTGTTGGAAAATCTACGTAAAGATTGAACAATCCCTCCTTTTTTCCTTCATCATCGTCGTCGATACCATGCAAAAAGGGAGCTTCCGATAACCACGCGAGCTGCGCGCGCACCCAAAGCCCCGGAATACCAGACAGCGCGTAACGAGAGCATGCCTGATTCCGAGTGTTGTTTCATGCCACGCTTCTGCCTCCAACAAACCAACAACAACTCAGTTCAGTAGTCACAATCTGTTGCTTGATTAGTTACCCCTCTCTGCTTCTGACTGGCTGCTGGTGGATGATCGTCTGCTGTTATTATTGCTGATGTACATCGTGTAATCACATTCTATTGTTTGCATTTCCCTCACCACCTTTACAGGTAACACCGCAAAGAGTTTAATGTTCGATTGATGGATGATCAGCTCGAAACATTGTTTAAGTGATTTCATCAATTCAGCTTTTCTAATTCTTTCACCTTAGGTGGTGGCAGACTTTCCACTCACCTTTTGCTTTGTCTTCTCCGATTAAATTATTATTGTTACATGTAGAAAAAAGTTGGTGCTACGAGCACAAACACCGTGTGCATATCAAGTACGGAGAGTCCCCCACGAGAAGTGTACGTACGTATGCCAATAAAACCACAAGTAGCTAATCCAAGTTGGACTCCGTTTGGAGTTGACGTCCGCTCTCACCAGTCCAGCAGTTAGAAATGCGTCTTCGAATTATCGGATTGGAAACCAAAGCTAGTGATAGAAAATTAACTCTTTCCCGCCCATGGTTAATCTGCCTTTTTTGACATTGTGAGCTATAACTATAACATAGTCTGTATTAGTTCTTCTATTATCGGAAGAAATTACAGATATTTACTTTAAAATATCATTTCAAATAGCTCAATTTAAAGATATTTCAGCAATGTATCGAAGAAACGAAATTAAAAAATGTGTTTCCATAAAGTACATTTCAGTTTACTGCAGAACATGCCCATAGGTCCCAGGGAACTTCATAGGGGCACTGGAAACATCCGTTAAGCTCCATGGATTGGATATAATTAAATACCACAGACAGACATACAAATTAGTAGCGTTGTACCATAGAGGTAACTCTAAGACTAGTAGATCAAGAAGAAACGTTCCCAACTTTTTGGCTCAGCTCTGGTACTATCTTCAGTCCCAAGCTAATCGATTCGCCCCTCGAAACCTAGGAAAATCCACTCACCCCTCATTTTATGTGTCAAACTTTCATAGCGAATCAAAACAAACATAGTGTAGTACTAGAATTTTGACTAGAATGAGGTACGTTAATCGATTTGCTTGGGATCAATAGGCTAGTCAAGTAGTGAGCCAATTTAAAATTTTAGTTTCCTATTGATTGTTGGTTGTACTACTTTAATCTAGTACCTCAAAAAGTAAATTTTTTTGTACTAGCTTAAAGCAGTACAACGAGAGAACAACAGTGAACTTTGTATGTATGTACAAGGTAAAAGCATAGAGGTAACTCTAAGACCAGAAGGTCCCGAAGAAACGAGCTCAACTTTTTGGCTCAGCTCTGGTACTATCTTCGGTCCCAAGCTAATCGATGCACCCCTCTAAACATAGGAAAATCAACGAACCCCTCATTTTATCTGTCAGACTTTCATAGCGAATCAAAACAAACATAGTGTAGTACTGGAATTAATACTATAATGTCTGCACGTCTGCTAGGCAAGGTTGCAAATACTCATTTCAGCTTAAACAATGTTTTTTTTTTAAATTATGAAGTAATTAGATGCCATGATCATATTTTGAATTGGTAGGATACAAGAAGAAGTTGCAAAGAATGTGTTTGACATATTAAACCTGTTTATTTCACTTCATGAGAGTCACAATCAACGATTTTTCACAAACTCACTAACTCACTCACTCACTCACTCAGCGATCCGAAAATCGCTGATTGTGACTCATAGAATGCAAAATTTACAGGTTTTGTATTTCAAACGCATACTTTGTAACCTCTTCTTGTAAGTTACAAGTAAAACATACCATCATACCATCTTTTGGTTTTATTATTCCGAAAAACATTATTTTAGCTGAAATGAGTATTTGCAACCTTGCTGCTAGCGTGTCTCGTTCGCTGGCAGGCAGACCGTGGAGGCAACGAAGGTGCTCGAATTGTGGTCATACGCATAACACGTGCTCCACCGTCGAAGGAATATGGCAGAATTCACAGGTCTTCCAGAAGGGTCCTCCAATGAAATCCGGTGAGATGTTGCAAAACGACCTCTGCAGAGACAAGAGCATTGGTCGTACCGGCTAAAGCATGAATGACTACCACAACAAAATATACGATAACATAGTGCAAGCTTTATTTCCCTCCCATGTTACACCTAACTCCTGAGCTCCTGTTCTTCAGAATCGCCTAGCTAGTTCTTTTTTCTTCTTCTTCAATGCTTCATCTCTTCACTGGTGTACTCACTGCTACCGGAACATCCGCACATCCTCTCGTTCCCAGCTCATCACCGTCGATCTTCGGACTGTGCCGACGTGGAGGCACCGTGCATGCTCCACCGCGACCGGCTTCGAGGGCCTGATGACGGTTGGCGTCCACCTCAAAGCGATCGGGTTCAGATCGTCACCCGCTTACTGGCGATGTAGGTCCGCTTTCAGTTCGCACACCTTGCACGACAACGTTTCGGCACGTACGGTCCAAGCCGAGTTCCTTTGACGGTGCAGTGCCGACCAGGGGGCGACTCAATTTCGGACCGAGTTCACTCAGCGTTGCCGCTGTACCCTGAGCTGGTCAAACTATTATGTCGCTGATTCTTTCGTCGATTCGAGTTCGCATTGAAGGCTTTTATCTTTTGTCTTCCGAGGCTGGCCGTATCCAGCCGCCGTGGCCCACTCGACCGACTGTATGTAGGAGCAGATGCGCTTTTAGTATCGAATCACGACTTTTCTTCTCCGTCCGACTTGTGGGCGCAGTGAATATCGAGTCCCGAATCCCGCAGTGGTTCACGTGTCCCAAGTTGCCTCACGTGTCTGATGTGCACGATGAATCCCGCAGACTGATGTACAAGATGGCGTCCGAGGTCACAGCGTGAGCGCTCGTCGTTTCTCGGCGGTTCTGGTCGATGCCGATGTTGTTGCCACCAGCTGCCTACTTACCCAAGGCAATCGTGTCGGAATCGAACGTCGCTTCAACCTGCCGACAATGGACTGTCGCTGATACTGCGCGCACCCGTCAAAAGAATCCACTCGCGACGACGGCAAATATGGGCAGTGACTGCAAATGACTTTTCGTGCCGTACTCGGCGCTCACAGTCTCCACAACTGTCTCGATGGCCTCTTCGAAATGCCGCAGTTGCTTTTGGAGCTATTGCGATCGAATCGCGAAAGTTTTCGCGATTTTCACTACCGCGTCGGCGATGGCCGCCCGAATCAGACCACGCTTTTGCACGTTCTGCTGCTTTGCTGCTGCTTGAGCGACGGGCTTCGTTGCGACGTCATCTGCAGTTGTGTTCGTGTGTTGTTGTCGGAAGTGCTATTATTCCATTCGCCCGTGCGGCGATATCCGTCAATTTGACTGGTGACGTTTGCCCATGAAGCATAATTTTAATGTGCACGATCAAGCGAAACTACTCTGATTCTGCTCAAAAAGCTTGCATCAAATAAAACGTAACAGAGATTAGGGAGTGTCCTGTCCGAAGTCTGGAAAGAATCCTCTGGTCTCACAGGTTTGCAAGGTCCGTCCACTTTCCGATGCCGCCTTTAATTTTTCTAATAGACGGAAGTCTGGCACTGGACCATTCCGTTGCCTACGCTGTTCGCACTGTGCAAGTGATCCATCTCTTCACGTCATGGAACGGTACCTTGTGCGAGTACCGAGGACCCGATGGGCCTGACCCGGCTAGGTTGTCTGCCTCGATGTTCCCTGGGATCCCGCAGTGTCCGGGAATCCATGCATATGTATAGTGTTTGGTGGTGCAACCTTCAAGATGACCTGGATCCAGGGGTGGACCGGGACTCCCGACGAAAGGGCCTGAATAACACTGTGGGAGTCTGACAGGATCAGCATGAAGAATAGCCGCTGCTTCTGCCGAGAACACCGAACATTGTTTTGGCAGACTTCTACTCGTTGGAGAAATGTCACCAGCGATTCCCATTCCGACTCCAGCTCTCGATCTTGACCCGTCCGTGTAACGATGCATGTAGTTTGGGTACAATCCGGTCAGCTTTGCTACCGATCTCCCAAGGGCTATGGAATTGTCCCCGGTTTTATCGGGCTGTCGATGTTTGGTGCGGGAGATTGCCAACTCTTTTCTCCGTACCAGTGAATCTTGGCCACTGGGGGGAGCTCTGCGTTGGCGATAGTACGGAGAACTCTGCACCCCCTCGCTGAGGAGGCAGATTCTGTCGTTTCTGGCGGTATTTGCTGAAAAAGAAGCGGCTTTGTTGGCAATGGCTGCGTAGATGCGGTACCGGAAAGGAAGAGTGTCGGCTTCGACACAGCTGGCATCGGCTGGCGTCGAGCGTAGGAGACCGGAGATGATGCGCGTGTAGCTATTGTACACCGGAGCGAGTATTTGTATTGCCTTGTCGGTAACACGGAAACGTACTTCTCTGTTGTTGGACCGGTGGGGACGGGA